TAAAAAGGTATATGTATATCCAGCATCACAAAGTGACAAAATCTTGAATCCTTCTGGTATTGGCTTGTTTTTTATACAAATTGTATGGATGCTTTTATCAGAAAATCGAACCATCATTTCATCCACTGCTACATTAGAGTTTGGTATATAAAGACGTTTGGAAACATCTCGAACATGGGAAAGCAAAGCTCTAATTTTTCAAAGTAATGGTTAATCGTTTCTGCAGGTGAAGAAATATGTAAATATCGCTTAATTTGTTCAAAGCGTTTCAGTGTCATTTGCCTTGAAATATGATAAAAAGGGAACCTTGTATCTTCGTTCCAGTATTGTTTAAGAGAAGGGGACTTGAAAAGTCCTTGGTAAATAACTAATGCGATTCATATGATGAGTTCTTTACGGGTTAAGTTTTGCCAGCGCCTACTAAAAGCACTAGCATTTTTTGTTAATGCATATAAATTTGTGTTAACTACTATTGTATCTAACATGTTTATTGGAAAAAAAAGAAGAAAAATGTCAATTGATTTAACAACTTCATGTTGTAATGGCAGGTGCACAAATGCTTGATGTAGTGATTTCGAATGAATGTATGGGTCAAAATTGGGTGGCAAAGGAAGCTTTTGTTGTGTAACTTCTGCTGATTTGCATTTTCTTTTGCAGGCACTTGAAGTATCTACTTTTACATAATCGTCATTACTATGATCCGAATCCTGGTTTTCCAAAGAAGTTCGGTGAAAGGTTAAAAGCAGCATATATTCATCCTCACTATCTGAATATTCAATGTCTTCAGTGTCTTCAATGAGAAATGAGGTTGAACTTGAAGCCAATGAACTTGGCCCAGATGCAGAAGACATGTTTTTTTTTTTTTTTTTTTAATCGTATGTTAACTTTTTTTTTTTTTTTTTATCATGTCTTCATCTTGACTTAGTAAGAATGCTTTATTTGGCCAATTTATTTAAATTCAAAGTGATTCTTCATTCTTCATTTGATAAGTTTTTTTTTTCTGCCTTAATACAAATGAATAATTATTGGATTGTTTGATCAAGTTCTAAATGTTGGTAATTTGCGATTCTTTAAATCTGCATGCAAGCAATCTTAGATATTTATTTGAATGCATTGTTGTCACATGATAAATGCCGTGAGATAAGATTCAGAATACTGATATGGTACGTTTCAATTATAGCATAGAAAAAGAAGGGTAAGACTTAATAAAATTGGGAGAAATTGTGCAAAAATAGACCTGTAAAAATTTAAGCATACATATATATACGCTTGACGGTTTAAGGGATAATATAACAAACTCTAGTAAGTTTCCTGTTAAGAATAAAATAGTTCCAAAAGTACTAATAAGTATCAGAAACTTGAATAAGCAGTACTCTGAGATATTTTCATGATACAAGAGAACTGCATATGCAGAGAATTTAAATAAGCAAAACTTATAGTTAGCTTGCGGATATAGTATCTAGTATAGAACCTGTATAGTAATATATAAGCAAACTACTTAAATTAGGTACTAAAGTGCATATGTGATTAGTTGTAACCTCTAATATGTTATATAAACTTAAATCAAAGTCTAAAGAGTCAAAATATTCATCAACTCTTCTCGCTGATCTCTGATTCCAAGTAGAGCAGAAACAAAAAACACAAAATACAACTGAAACAAAATAGAAAACAGTCCTTGGGCTCTTAAGAAAAAAAAGTTTATGTTTAAAAATACATAAACAATAATAGAAATATAACAACAGAAGAGGTATCTCTAACAGACTAAACTTGTCTTTAGAAAAATTTTCTTTCTTTTTAGTGTAAAATTCGAAAGTTTGGGAAATCACATTTGATTCTGAAAAACAGAAAGAGAACACGTGACTGACTAAACAACAACAACAAACAACAAACAACAAAGTCACATTCTCAATTAGGAAATAGATAGATAGATAGTAGTAGCATAACACAAGCTGCACGTAATCAAATCAAGAAGGAAAGAGTACAAAATAGAAATACAACAAACAAATCAAATGGATCGGGTTATCGATACAAACATTATGTGCTACATTAAGGAGGCAGGTGATAAAAGTTAAAGATATTTAAATTCTGAATTGTTGGACCAAATTCTAACAATGCCTGCAAAAGAACTAAGCAATATAGAGCACATAGCAAAAGACCTAGCAATAAACAACCCAAACTATGTTACACTAAGTGATGTACTACTTTAAACAGGAGGAACCGTCGATGTTACACAAAATTGTTACACAATTTAAAGAAGATTTTTTTATATGGTTTTACAATACTTTTTTAGGAAGCCGGCGTAACTTTTCTATTCTATGAAACGTGATTAATTCACTAAGCAAACTTGAAGCTTTCGTGCTGTATTATAACATATTTTTTTAATCCCTTTTAATTCCTCAACTTTCATAATACAGTTTGCCTAGTGAAAATATGTCTAACACTAAGCAATGCAAAGAATGCGGATCTACCAAGTCGCCTAAATTTCATCAAATAGGGGAGGAAAAATGGGAAGAGATCAAGCGTAACGACTTAATAAAGGTAATGTGGAATAAAGAAACTGTTTTATATAATAAATGCTATATGAAACTTGTAGAAAACCCATTACAAAGTACTAAACGAGCGAAGCTTACAACTAAAGTTAAGGAAGTAGAAGAAAATGTGAATTTAAATGGGGCCATAAAAGCGATGGCATCAATTTTTTATGATAGGGAACATTTCAAAAAAGAAAAGCCCATATATGATTATGATGAAATGCGAGAGATGCTTCAAGAAATTAATCCAAGTTTGAAAGATTTTTTTGATCAGCTTTATTTGGCGGCTCGACCATTTGATCGTAATGTTCAAACTATGGCCCGTATGAAAAGATTGATGGTGTTGATTTGTTATTTACTTGCCTCTTTAAATAATACAAGAATTAACTCTTTTAAGTTAGACATTGCGTGTTATCTAGATTCGGTAGGAACAAGTAATGAAAGCTTGAACATGATGGCAAATATTGGTATGGCCATGACGTCTAAGGCAGTAAATCAACAGAAAAGAAGAATCTCTAATGCATATAAGAAAGATGTGGAAAATGCACTTTCTCAGTATTCGAATAATGCACTTGTATTAAATATTGATGATTATCATAATATCCACACTCCACAGCAACCCACCACTACCGTTACTTCCCGGCCAACACATATGACGACAATTTTAATGAACCCATGCCCTATACAAGCCATACCATATAATAGGGTATTTAATTCAAAATTTATAGATAGCAGCTTGCTTATAAAACACCTTGATGAACGATTTATAGTAAATCTTGGTGTTTTATACTATGATCGTATGCGAAGTGCAAGTGCATCTGATGAAGAGCTAATAGATAGGCTAGTATCACATAGCTATAACAATAGACTTGTAGAAAAAAATGATGATCGGCATATTCGTAACTCCATTCTCGTCGATTTTACTGAAAACAAGTTGAAAGATATAGATGGGTACTTGAAGGCTCTTCAAATTGTGTATAATCAAGAAGCAATACAAGCATATCTTTCCAACAACGCGATTCCTGTTGTAGCTGACTGGCCGGGACAATATTTTATTCGTAAGGCAATTGCGCAACGGTTTCTTCTCAATAACGAAAGCATTCCTCAGTTTGTTCTATCATTCTTGCCTATTATGGGGCCCCTCCATGTATCCTTAAATGCTCGTGAACTTGTTTATTTAAAAAACTCATTTCTATTTAATGATATTTATAAGGGTATATTTGGAGAAAGGAAAAAACTTGGTAATAAACCGCGACCATGGAGAATCAATTTAATTCTCCATATCGTGCGTATGGGATGGTCTAATATCGCTAATACAGTTTATTCAAAGTTTGGTCGCACATGCAAGAATGTTGAGTTTTTATATCTAACCGATTTGCTAAGCAATTTAGTTCCTTTAGTTCTCGACGTTTATGCTGTATACCATCGAGAAGGAAATTGGCAAGCTTATGAGGAAGCATGCATGCGTTGCTGGAGTGACCTTTTCCTTCGATTTGACCGAAAGAACTATAAGCGTGCTCCCTTAATGTTTTTTTCTGATATTTTTTACTGGATGGAGACTAGTCATCCAATTATTAATCTTATCACTAATCATTTAGCTTCTCTTAGTGATTCTCCTGTTGAAATCGTACACAGTATTATTTGAAGACGTACTACTAAGTTTCTTACAGGACAACAATTACAAAAAGAAGCATACACCATTTTTCAGCGACGATACGATAATAATTTTCAGCAAACTTTTGAACGTTCTGTAAAGTATCCATATACGCCAAAACAGTTGGATATACTGTCTCAAAAGTGTTCTATCTGACTTTTAGAACTATTTGGAAAGGTTTATCGAAATCATCATCAGCATTCTACTGTTAAATCCTTAGTTGATGGTATAAACACATACGTGCTACTTTCGTTGGGTTATGAGGTGACAGATCGTCACCTCCCAAGAGGTTTTGTTACTTCCAAAAAACCTGATATGTCTGTTTTGTGTGATTCGATAGACTGTGACAAAACTTTTGAGTTGTATAATGGCATTGTTTTGGCGTGTAGGCATGGTTATCACAATGATTGCTTACAAAAATATTATTTTAAATGTTTCATATGTTTAGGTTATCTTCAAGATGAGATTCGAAAAAATGTTGACACATTAATATCAAGTATGACTAATAAATTAGTCAAAAGTGAATTGTTTGAGAAGAACGATAATACGGATGATGATGATATTGATGAAGCACACGAAGTATTGGATGATTTAATTGCAACCAGAGATGTATTAAAATATGTAAAGTTAATATTTTTAAATCAATAAAATTATAATATTTATAAAATTTATATTGTGTATATATTAAATAAAATAAGCTTGGCGATTATTTTTATTACAAATTATGATTACATTTATACCTAATTATTATTAAATTTATACCTAATTATTATTAAATTTATACCTAATTATGATGGCAATGGTCGTTGACGTATATAATTTTAATTATATTAGTTACTTAAATATGCACAATGCTGATCATTCCCGGCTTGTGTAACATCGACGGTTCCTCCTGTTACTACTTTATGAACAAATTCTTAAGGCCTTGAGCCTAGCAGAAATGAGCTGGCTCGAAGAAGATATAATAGATGAATGGGCACAAAGACTTAGACTGATGAATCAAAACCCAAAATCAGTTGAATATATCACAAATATGAACAAAAAAGAAATACTTAAAGAAGAGAGGAAAATGAAAGGAATAGAGAAACTGAACAGCATAGAAAAGATGCAAACTTCAATAACAAAGAAAAGATGTCAAGAAGTAGCAAGAAAAGAAGTATTGCAAGAAAAACCAATCCAAATAATAAATGAAATTATTGGCCAAATCGAGGAGCTTAACATTAACACACAACAAAATACGCAACAAAGAAATTTCTCACCAAGCACAAACCAAATCTCTACAAACAAATCAAATAAAGTAGAAGAAACAAGAGGAAAAAAGATAAAGAAAGACACAGAAGCTCCAAGAGACAGCATCATCCGAGATGTTAAGGAAAATATAAAAAACATCGATAAAAGAATAATAAAATTAAGAGAAGAAAATATGACACACAAAGATTCAATCTTTATAGACACAATTGAACACAGCCAATGGTCACCGGAAAATAGAGTATATAAGAAGAACATGTCCTTCAAGGCAAATATGCCAACATACATTCTACCAGAAGAAACAAGTGATGAAAGAATTAAATACGTGCAATGGATTCTGGGCAAGAATCACCATATTAAGATGATTAAAGAAGTTTTTAAAAAGAAAAACAACTGAGTAGAAGTAGACTTTGATTAT